TAGTGCGACTCTTACCAGAATACCAACGTTTAAAACCTAAATTATCAATCTCCTTAGCCTTTTCTCCCACCCACTTAGTTTCTTGAATACATAAGATATTAATTTTCCTATGAATCATAATATCAACTAATTCCATTAATTTACCATTGAGAGTGCCTATATTCCAAGATCCTATCCTAATATTAGTTTCATTAGTTTCATGGACTAACTTCTTTACCCGCATTCGCCCGTAATGTGGGAACCCTTGCTTATTTAACACTACACCCGGGCGCCGGTGTAGCGGCCCTTGCACACTTTTCACTGTATTCAGGCTATACAGCGCGTCGCTTCCAGGGGACGCCCTAGCACTTACACAATGATCAAAAGGATTCATGTCATGATTTTTTCGACAAGTTTTACGCTGGCTGTCGACTACCTAACGCAACCCTCCACTTTTCTCATCCGGGCTTGGGACCGGCAACGGCAGTGTTAAACTTCAAGTCACTAATGATAATAATTATTTCATTTTGTCAAATCATTTCATTGATAGCATCGCATATTCATTGGTAATTGAGTAATATTTAATTTGATACATATAAGTTTTTTAATTCGATCACTTGGTGATTAATGAATCTTGCTTGATATAAATATCAAATTAGATAATAGAAATAATAATTATTTCATGTAAATGAAATACACAAAATAAATTCACTGTGTTGTGTATAAAATTTCATATGTAATTGATCTAAATGTAATAATCCTTCTCTTAAAACATTTATATACATAAAATGATAATTAATCAAAATAATATTCGCAATATACAATAACAGTTATCGTATTTATTTTGATTAGAGGGTGTTGTCATGGTTATTGGTATGCTCAACACCCTAGAAATTTAATTGTAATCACGAAATTATCATCATTTCTTACCAAAAGAATAAATTATACATATAATTACAAAATGTCAAATAAGTCCTTTGATTTGGAATAACATAACTAAATTATTGATTAGCATAAACCAACAAATTTAAAATATCATCTTGGCTCAAGTGTCAATGCGAGCCAAACGACAATCCATTTTTCAAGTTATGCTCAATCTTCAAACCAATTCACAACCTTAAAATAGTGCGCCGCATTTATTTAAGTAAATTTTCATCACTTTGGGAAGTCCTCTTTTCTTGCATTATACCAAGTAAATTTCCATTGCTGAACTTTCCTTTCAACAGCCAGCCAGCTGGATCATAAATAGCTTATTATGTGGGAAACTTCTTTCTCCTAAGAGGGATCGTTGTGCACCCCTACATCGGATTAAGATGCCATCATTTCCTGAAACACAAGCTGGTGTTGATATGAGTCAGGAAATCTGAATTTTATGACAACGCAGACAATCACAATTTCTGCAATTTTGTTAAGGGTGCGATTCTTTTTTCCCCTTTTTTATCTGCATTTTTTCTATGGTTGCAATTATTAAGCTGGGATTATCTGAATTGTGTTTGCAGATCAGAAATAAAACCTGTAAAATAAAAGGCAAAAGGAAGCCATAACCGACATAGCACGCTGATGCTATAGATTAATCAAGGAAATAGTAACGAGGAAAGTGTCAAAATGGCCCAGAGTCTATAAAAGTATCAATTTAGTCCCCAAATTTTTTTAATGGGGATTAAACTGTGAGGATTATTTTAGTAACTATTTTAGCCCATATTAAAAGTGTCTGGATTAATTTGACACTTTTATAAACTCAGGGTCTAAGATGACTCCCTTGGCGCTTAACACAACTAATAGCCTTGCAGATCTTGGTAACTGTCTGGTGACAAATTTCTCTCATGCTCCATTATAGCTTTTCCATCATAGCATGAGAATGTTATATTCGTTGAGTTTATTTTAAAATATTGATCGTATGGTGGTTCCAAGCTTCCAATCAAATTGGAACATAACACACAGATAATGCTCAGTTTCTATTCCACATCATGTCGGAAGAGTCAGTTCTTTTTACATCTTTTATCTGTGATGATGATGAAACATCATGATGATTCATTCTATCTGCCACTGATTTATGTGTATTTCATTAACAATTTGATGATATTAATATTTATTTTTCTATCTAACTTTTCCTTAAACTCATTTGTTTCAAGTTGATTATTTTCTAGGAACTAGAACATAGAAACTAGAACAATGTTGATGTTTTCAGCAGCTTAAGCTAGCATGAGGAATGATTACTTGGAGGCTGAGCTCAAAGGTAGGTGTGTGTTATAGTAGCTTTCATTGTAAATTGATTCAGTTTTTTATTCAATCTTCTTAGAATTAACTCAAAATTTATTATCTTTTATCTTGATGTTTTCAAAACATAGCTAAATATTATTGAGAATTTAATTAGCCCAGCTTTCCAATTTAATTGATTGATTACATGCTTACTGCTATAAGAAAACTCATTGACCAACTGTTTTTCTTAACACATTTGGTGCATTGGCAGAAAACCCATCTATTTGGTTCTAAATTTTTACTCATTTCATTAAATTTTGTTTGATTGTGTTAACTATGGTTAAGCAATATATATAGAGTGATGGTTTAAGGTTAGTTTAGCTCACTGTTTGTTCTGGCTAATTATATAATGATTTGATGGAAAAACCTTTTAAAAAATATCTAAAAAATGAACATAATTAAAATTTAGAATATTTAAATTTAACAAATTTATTCAAAATTTGTTATAGTGCTCAAAACTTTCTTTTTATTATTTAGAATTTAATTAGCTTAATACTCTATCAGATCCATATTTATTGATATTGTAATATTTTTTTAATTAATGTTTTTTAGTATTTATTTGCTTGATTTTCTCATCACGTGATTATTCAACACCTGGTGTCCTAACAAATTTATGTGATTCTATGATTTTCAAGGCATTCATTAAATTTATTAATTTACATTTAGTTATATAAAGCATATTATTAATTTAAATTACAAAAATAAACTTAATGGTTATTTTTTTAATAGTACTTGATAAGGCAATTTTTTTAATGTTGGCCAGTTTATGTGCTTGTTCGCGAACAACTCGTTCGCTAAATTAACGTGTCGAACACGAACAAAGATTTGTTCTGGCTTGTTTTGGCTCGAAATAATACTCATCAATTATATTATATATATTAAAAATTTAATTGACTACAAGGCTACAAGAATTTATAATTAATTTAAAGTATTAATTAAGAAAATAGAATAAAAATTATTAAATTAGATTCAAATGGTGTTTTAATATAAAAAATAGCTTTTACATCTTGTCCCAACCATTAACACCTTATGGCTACGTGATTAGGATTGTTAAAATGACTCTTTGTTCGTGAACAACTCGTATTCAGGTCGTTAAACAAACGAGCAGAACACGAGCATATTTTTTGAGCTCGAAATATACATGGGCCGAACACGAGCGTTTACACCCTAAATTGTACTCGTTTTATGCATTTCATTGAAGTTGTCTAATTTTATAATGTAGTTAATCAAGTGTTAATTAGGATTAATTGTATGATTATACTACTTGATGAATTTAGTCTTTATGGCATTTATGAGAAAACCATCATATTTATCAAGTCCAAAGTTGCCTAAACTCGTGGCTTTGAGAATACCATAGTTGCTCTAATGTTATCCCACGAGGGTCTTAGAGTGAACTGTAAAATTTGGGAGTTCAAGTAAGAGGAAAAGAGGCAAATAAAATAAAATGGCATCGAAATAAGAATGGTGTTTAATGGTAATTGAGTCCATAGGCCTACGCCCATTTTTAGGGAACATCTTGAATTCTCTATATGAAGTATGAGATCACCAATGTTGGACAACATCTTGAATTCTCTATATGAAGTATGAAAGGTGACTCCTTAGATAAGATTGTAATGGCTTCAACAAAAGTAGTTTGGAGTGAGCATATATGAGTCCATGATTACTAACCCTTTAGTCATCACAATAATAAGGTATTTATAGTTTAGTGGATTGATGTTATTTATAGGTTAGTAGTGAGGAAGCGATAATGAGGGTCAAATAACAATAGCAACTAGATTGTGTGGACGCCTAACAAAGAAAAAATGAGTAATGTAGGAATGTTGATGCATGTAATGTGACACTATGATTTAGTATGTAAGAGACTGATGGAAAAGATGATATGGAGCCAAGTCAATATAGAAATAATGAATGGGCATTTGATATATTGAACTTTTGGAGTTTTAAGCTTGTGTCGCGAGGGGGTCTGTTTTATATTGCAATAATAATTATAGAGGTGTTAATTTGTGTTCACATTTGGGTTAGGTTAGGCCCAAAAATGACTTCGCTAATACAACTCAAATTCGATGATTTTTTTAAAAATGTCAAAAATCTCACGCGGATTTTAAATTGACTAAACTCTAATTTGATCCAACACGACACAAAAAAATATTTGAGCTATAGTGTTTAGTTTCAACCGAACTAAAATAAAAATAATAATCCAAATAAAAAAATGACATATAAGAAAAAACATAGTTTTATATGATTTTTTATTTAAACAAATCATATAATTGTATATTTTAAATCAACTCAGACCCACTTATCACGTCCCTAACATATTTTAGTTTTTATTACTTGAACCAATGCAAACATAACCCAATGTTTATATTGGATGGCTCAAGTCTAAAATTTTCACATCTCATGTTAGAATCATATTTTTATGTATTAGTTAAAATATTTATACTCTGACTAAAATATATGTTCTTGAATAAGCCAGGGTGATAATGCTTTGCATTAAATGTGTATGCTTTTAAAAAAATGGCATGTGTCTAATTTTATGGGCTTCTTCTAACTATTTTCAAAACTTGTATTAAAGGAATGGTGGGGAATATTTAGCACTTAAGAAGAGCATTGGGTAAAAGTAAAGAAGCATCAAGTCTACTCATAGAACTTGCCATAATTCTCCAGATGCATTTCCTATATGGTTCATGACAAAAATTTCCTAGAGACATTTTTGAGTGGTATTCTCAGAAAAGCCCTCATATATATGATTTTATAAAAAGGTGATTTGACTAGCATAACATTGTTACACCAATATCGGGTCTCATCGATCATAACTGCGATCAACACATTCATAACAAAGGTTATATCAAATTCACATGCTATCATTTGTATTTGCAAATTTTCCTCTTTAGCGCATAAGGACTTGAAATGTAATATTCACCTTCAAGCCCGTGCATCTATAGTTGTTGTTGAAGCATCCTTTTCAAGTCACCATAAAGTTTTTAAGACAATCTAACTTTTAATACCTCCATAATAGTTTTAAAACAAGTAATTTTGCTTATCATCATGCTCCCGGCATATATGTGGGTCGTACAATAATATGAGTTAACACAAAAGCAAAACAAGTAAAGATTACATAGAATGAAGGAGATGCAAAAACCAATAAGATGGCACTTGAAAAGAAAATTTCAAAGGTTTCTAGCATGGAGAATATCACATTGTTGGATGTATAATAACAACAATCATTGTCATCAACATCAACAAGATGACGATACTCCATTTAGGGAAGACAAGTGTAAGAAGGAGAATGCTAGTGCAGAAGCACGAGAATGGTATGAGTTTTATAAGAGAGGTAAAGAGGATATGACCATCCAAAAAATTTTTGTGAGCATGGATCAAGTATCTTGGAGTTGATGGAAGTTTTCATAAGCTAAAAAAGATGGTGGTGTTGTGGGTAATGGAGGTTTTCACAAGCTAAGTAGGCAAATGTTTACAATAGGTGAAGAATGCATAAGACAAAATGATTGGTAAGAAGATGTTCACAACTTTTGTTTATAGTGAGGTTATTGATCTCATACAAAAATTGTTAATTGTAAGTGCACACCTATGAGTAGAAATGCTCGATTAATGAAGTTTGGCGACTAGTGATGACGATTGGCAGTTGTGAGGATGATAGGTGGGTGAATGCGAGTAATAATGAAAAACAGTGTATGTATGTAGCAATGAGCAACTATAATGGCTTAAGTCATGAGTGTGTAACACCTAAGCTAGGAATTGCTTAGTGTTGGAAATTTATAGATACATACAAAGAGAGATTTTAGAGTACTAAACACTGATAAATTAAAAATTACAAGATCATTAATTAATAAATCTAATGGGGAGTCAAATTTAGCATATCACATGAAATTTTGCTTGGACAACTTGCTTTCTAACTCCATAATTAGTATTATCTTTTTTGGTAATCCTCAAGCTCCTCATTTATTGGTCTACCATAATTGTTTTTGCACAACCTGCCTCTACTACCAAGAGTGAAGATGAGATCACCATCCTCTTAGGATGAATGCCTCTCACACATGATCTTTTTTACTCTTTCACTCAAAGGAAACTCCATTGTTGATAACGTGCGAATGACAGAGTAATTAATCAGGGTAATATTTGTATGTTGCATCTTGTGGAAGCGAGCTAAAATCATGGATGGGTCTTAGGATGAAAATAATTATTTTTAAAATAAATTTTCATCATTTGATTTAATAATCATTAAAAAAAATGCTATCATACAAAAATTTTAAAAAAATTTGTTGAAAAGATATGATTATTTATCCACTTAAGTTGCTCTACTCATTTTGTTTAATTTTGATTATTTATTATGGAAAACATAAAGCCATGTCACAACTTAACTAATTTTTAATTAATTTAATAAAAAAATTAATATCTTAATAAGCATTATTCGATATTCATTTGTGGTTCATTTGTTATAATTTCGCTTTACATACATTTTTCATTGTTATGCTTAGATGCAACCTTTTTAGCATTGTTTATAATTTTAGTGATGATAAATATTTGTTGTAATCAAGTTTATAAAAATGTGGTAGTTATAAGAAAATTATTATTTTAAATTTCTCGTAAAAAATAACCTAATATTACCCATATTTGTTTTCAAAAATATAAATCTCCATGTAATAGTTCTAAAATAGATTTTAGAAACATTTATGACTGCCACAAATGAACCCTAAATTAAATTGTATAATATAGTTATATCAAATATTATTTTTATTAATTTTTTTTTACAATAAAAATAAGAGGGTTTTATGCACATACCACTCAAGTCATCCTTATTAACATATTTAGCACCCAAAAAGATTAATATTATATACATACCAACCTAAAATACCTAATACCTCTATTTTATCTCCTCAGTCTTAATTTCACCACCATTATCTCCCTCAATAGCTCCTCTTCACCACAGTGAACCAATCATTCAGCTTGAGCCTCCCATCTTTCACAAGAAAGTCGATCCTCACTATAGCCAGCTAGCCAATCAGGTCAAAGTACCCATTTGGAAGTCAAGCCTCCTTCTCCCTCCTCACACAAAATTAATTGCTAGGTTGAGCATTTAATATCGCCACCCAAGCTTCCATCTCTTCCCTCCAAAACGAGAAATTATTTCATACAGAGTACTTACGCAGCTTTACGTGCGAACTCCAGTAATATGTCGTCAATGTGAAGGTTATTGTGAGGTTATTGACGTGAAATTACAGAGGTTATTGAGAATTTATTGGGGGGGGGGGGGGGGGTTATTGTGGGGTCAATGCAGGGGTTATTAAAATAAAACCGCGAAAATTATTGGGAGGTTATTGGAGCAGAACCGTAAAAATTATTGAGGGGTTATTGAGACGTTATTGGAGTTAATGCCGAAATAACCCTCCAATAATCCGTAAAAATAACCTACACAGTTTAACTCCAATAATCTCGGCTATACCGCTTTAATTTCTTTTAGGTGAGCAACTAGAATCTGCATGTACAAGTACTCCGTATGAAATAATTTATCCTCTAAAGAGGCTGATTAGGGCCGGATAATGAGCTAAAATTTGAATGGATCGGAAAAGTTACCGATGACGAAATTTAATTGGACCGGTCTGACTCGATTCCGGACGCAATATGCATTCCCGGCCTTTTTATCTTTTGTTAGGCCCCTCTTGCAGCAAAGCCCACCACCTTTCCTTTTGTTAGGTCCCTCAGTCCCATACAAGTATACAACAGCCATCACCATCGTCGTAGAACTTCCGAGCAGTCGCTGGACCTTAGGGTTTCTGCCACCCGGACAATGGCAGCGGCGATTGGGTGGTATGGCCCTCTCATCGATCTCTCAAGGGCGTCTTCACACGTTGGCGACATGGTACAGCTTCTCGTCTTTGTCCAACGCTCGCAACCGATCGAGGTAATGAATTAGTATTCTTCGTCTCGTTCTATTTACCGGTCAAAGTTTTCTTACAGCTTCGTGCTGCACTGATTTTCATTGGGACTTAAATTGGTCGAAAAACTAACAAAAAAAAAAGTTAGAGAAACCGAACTGTTGTTTATCAGGACTTAGACATTTGATTCTATCGGTTTAACATGGATGGTTTTCCCTTTTCAGCGCTTATAACAGAAATGTTGGAGCTACTGTTCTGCATTTTGAGAACTAACATTGTTGAATACCTTATTTTGAATTTCTTAACTTAATTAAGTGAGAGTAAACACTATGTTGAAAATTTTTGCATTTTCGATCTTAAAATAGCATATCCCTCATGGACCTCTTTTTGTTGTAGTATGGTAGTAAAGAACTAATTGATGCGCGTCTTTGGTTGCTTGTAGAGGTTTGTTGCGCTCATTGATGAATCCTGGAACCACCTCCACCTTCAATTTTTTGATATTTGGGTTTGATTGCCATTTTCATACCAAAATATGACATTGCAGTCCTTTGCTATTCTAACTTGGAGGGTGTAACTTTTGGAGGGCCATTGGAACCCTCCCTGAAACTAAATATGATGTAACCACTATTGGGGAATTTGGGTTGCTAACGTGAGATGAAAGAAGAAAGAGAGAAGAGAAGTCTCTCAATCTCTGTGGATAAGATCAATCTCAAATTCTTTAAAAAAAAAGGTGCTGCCTCCAATATGTAATATAGTATTTATTGCATGCCAATGCTCCTTACATGACTGGTGAGGTTAAGTGGGGAGATCATACTTGTTGGGCTATGTTAACGAAAAATGGTTAATGCTGTCTTTATTAGGATTAGCTTTCGCATCGTTGGAAGTTTGGAGGTGCTTAGAGGCAACTTTTAGAGATTGGTTCAACTTGGGTTTTTGAAGTATTTACTTTTGTAACTTGTTAAATATTCCTGTAGATATTGCATGCTAGCTTGTGCCTTGGTTGAATTAAGACAGATTTTGTCGGCTTTCCACATTTAAGGCAAACATCAGGAAATTCTAGCCCAAGTCCTTTAAATCTGTCTGCTTTTTTTTATGTTTTCAGTTTTTTTTCCGTGCTTTTTGATCCACTGAGTAGTGATTGGGCGTGTGCTTGTAAAATTAGATTCACACACATTCAACTGGTTTCTCATTTTGACTTCTAAACTAGAAAGAGTGCAAAGATGCACTCTCCATCAAGGTCCACTTTTTGGCTCTTTCTTTATGAATGTGTGGATGCTAAAGCTGTTATTCCTCTATACTCATGCCCATAGTTTTGATACTATGTTAACTTGCTGAGCACAAACACTTTAGTAATTATGGAATAAGACTCTTTTAAGTGAATTAGATTTGTTTCTCCTTTTGCTCACCAAATGTTTCAGAATCAAAACTATCACATATGCTTGTGGAGAATATGTTGAACACACAATCTGCATATTGGAAGATAAAATTCATGGATGTCTAAGCTTATATCATAATTTTAATTTTTTTTTTTTTTCAATTTTTTAAGGCATTATTGAATATCGCTTCACTAAGTTGAACAAGTGAACATGCTTAAAACACCATTAAAAGGTTACTTGCTTTATAGATTCAGAGAGAATTTGGGAGGAGAGATGTTTTCAATTTCCTAGATTTTCACAAAGACTTTTATGACATTTGACTCCCCTTCACATTCTTTGACCACAAATCTTACCTAGAGCTTAAATTGTTCAGTTAAAGAATCAAACATAAACTATTTTAGTTCGTCATTTTTCACGCCTATAAATGGCTGCTCAAAAATCATGTCAACTTGTACAAAAATGAGAATAATTTATTGAATGAATTCTTCAATGATTATAGGGTACAAGTTAGGTACGAACACATTAGGTGATTCATGAGTTTCCCATGGACACCAAAATTTACTCCTTGAAACTAAATAACTATAGAGGAAAAATGATGCAACTAGGTCTGGATATTTCAATTTAGATCTTTACATTTAATGACACAGAAAGAAAGAATGATTTGATCTATGAGTTGGATTGAGAAAATTTGAAAACTTGTTGGATAAGTGTAGGCGAATGAACTACATTAGGTGTAAATCAGGAAGATCCATTGACTCTTTAGGATTTGTGGGCATTGGCCGCATCCAATATTCCCTTTAAGCTGGTTATTAGAGATAAACCATACCTAACTTGCAGTTTAAACTCTTGAAATTATTGCAGTCCATGACCTTAGGAAGAATATCAATTATTTGAAGTTTTGAAGGTGTGTAAATTAACATGATAAATTCTCATCTATCTTTTCCTTGATGAAATGGAGATCAATGTCTATATGCTTGGCCCCATTATGAAAAATCAGTTTTTTTGTAATGTTGATAGTAGCTTTATTATTAAATTATAATTTCTTTGGATTATTTGATGGTTTCTTCAATTCTTGTAGTGTTCCCTCCAACCAAATTCCTTCATAGATTTTGTGTTCTCTCCAGCCAGGCTCTACCCAAAATGTCTTTTCGGACACTTCTCATAGATTGACTTCTCTAATTGAATCTGCTTCTACTTGCTGTCAAATTTAAACTTCTTGCTCTAAACATCTGCTCTATTATCCAACCTTTTATGCTTTCTTGTCTATGGTTCCCACTGCTGTATGAAGAAATTCACAACTCTTCTCAATCCTTTTGACTCTTTCAATTGACATTGAGAAATTTAAAACGAGCCAATACTAATCTTAACCGTTCTCTAAGGCCACACAAAAATTTATGACATTTTTCCAGTTGAGTGTTGACATAATGAAGAGCATGCCTAAAGAGAGAAGTGAATTTTGTTGCACAATACATAACTATTTTGAATCCTTAAGTCAAATTGAAAAACTTATCCTGGAGTGTAATATGGCCGAAGGTGAAGTAAATCAATTCGTAAAAATTCTTATAAAATCATCTCATTGAATCTGTAACATACGTCAATCTAAATTTTTTTCTGTGTTGTGCCTGCCACTACCTCTCTGCCTCACCTTTTAACATGAAAGTGGCTAGCACCACTTTTTTATTTTTTTGGACCAATCATGCCATAAAAAATGATCTTTAACCAATCTTCAGTAGCTGTATGATCACTGATACCTCTTAATGCATGTGACTTGAATGTATGAAAAATCCTCAAATGTTGACCAACTATGATACCATATTCAAATTTTGGCCTAATGTAGGTAGAAGATCTTTCAATAACGATCATTTATCAACTTCTTGAGATATTAACTTGACAATTCCCTATAACTTAGTGCTTTTGGTCTTCACATTTGCCCTATTTTGAGTATCACTTTTGTCAAAATTATCCTTAACTTCATTTCCTATTTTTTAATTTTCCTAAAAGTCTGATTCTCAATTCTTTCTAATAATTCTGAAAATATATTTATGTAGATTACTCAATTGATTATGCAAGATAATTTATCATATAATAATTATACGCTGCATGTATTGCTTCTCAAGTATTATGAATTATATACCTCAGATCCAATTAGTCTCTAGCTCTGTATTGATCAATTCATATTTTTCTTATTTCATTTTCTTCAAAATCTAAATATGCTGCCATTAATTTCATCCAATGTTTCTCTAATACCACTTTATCACACTCTTGCTGACCCCCCTAAGGTTAAGCAGTGGTGTAGCAAATATGGACGACTCAGTCAGACACAATTCCTACAAAATTTTATTGGCAATTTTGTTATTATTCATGACATCACCTTTTTATTTGACACCTTAAATGTCTAGAACTTAATGGTTGGTTTCATTTTGCACGAACCACTTCTTAAGATAATCTGGGGGACAAAAGTAAATGATATGGCGGTCATATTAATTATGACATATATACCAAGCCTAGATGGTAACTCGGAGTATGTGTTTCCTTTCCTTCCACTATGTGTAGGTGGTCATATTGATTATGATATATATACCAATACTAGATAGTAACTCGGAGTACATGTTTCCTTTGTTGCCAGCCATGATGAGGGATCAACAGGATGGATTGGACAATTGGGACCAGGAACGTGCTCTAAATGTGCGGAAGTCTTAGTTAATTCAATTCTTTTAAAGGATTTAGAGTACATGTTAGGTATAAATAAGGATGATTCACGGGCTATGCATAGTCACAAAATTTCCTAAATTTAAAAAAAATGAAAAGCATAGTACGACATGATTTGAATTTTGAATTCAAATTTTTATTACATTTATTGATACACAATGAAGAAAAGGCCAATGCCATGAATGAATGAGGGGGGCGAAGCAATATTAGAAATTTCTAGATTGGTGCATGCAACTGGACAACATTTGATGGAAATCAAGATGTAAAGTTCTTTTAGGATCCATGGACATCATAAGCATCTAATACAGCTGATCCATATTACATAGTTGTTGATTGCTTAAGATCAAATTTCTTAACCTTCCCTTTTCTTTTTTGGAGACACTATGTTAGATGATTAAGGGAATTCCAATTGCTATTGATGTATGATGCACTTGTATAGCTTTTTATTGTGAAGAACTAATTATCCTTTTGTCACATTGACAAATAGGTTAAGAAACAATATTCCAAAAATTTCTATGCTTGTGATTTGGTTGAAAATGTATAATGCAGATTTACAAACTTGATTATGAGGAATTTCTTTTGAAATGAGTACGAGCTCTTGTGATTATTGTGATATTATGCCTTTGTATTGCAACTAAGGTTGATTTTGGCACTGCTAGTAATTCCATGCCGCCATGCTACACTATAGCTTGGACCATGGCCGCAAGCCACTGCTTATTTTGGTAAGAGGGTGGTAGGAACACCTCACAACCACATGTGGAAGGTAGGAATGTGATACTAGGGTGTTGATTTAAATTCAACCTAAATCTTTTAATTTACTTGTTAAAGAGATAATTTAATAATTTTTACATCTCTAGAGTTTAACTTTGATTTCGACATTTTTTATTATGAACATCTCTTAGATTCTTCATTTCGATTCATGAATTTACAGAAAATTATTGCTTCTAGTAGAAGGCCGATCTTGATGACAAACATTCAGGTTGGTGATGATACAATGCCATATTTTGTTGTGTCGGTTTGGCATAAATATATAGGAACTATGATTGTTCCTGGAGTTGTCATCTTACTACAAAGTAAGAACCCTTTATTTGCAAAGTCTTTCTTAATTATTTGTATTTGTTTTCATCAGGCTTCCTCTACAAAATTTTTACACATTGATGCATGTACATTGTACACGTTTTCATGATAACTAAATCATACTGTGTTTTGTAATTTTTTTCCTCTTTGAAATTAACCTGTGGAAAGATAGGGTATTGTTCAATTGCATGTTTGAGAGGGCTTATTTTTCAAGCCCACAACGATCCCTCCCCAAAATTAACACATGTTGTAATGGAGGCCGGTATGATTCAGTTGACTGAATATACACCCAACACCCATTTCAAAATCCTACTCACCCGTGTAGAGCAGAATAAACTATATCTGAATTGTGAAAAATTGTCATACAATTGAACTGATTCAGCTCAGCATCAATCTTCTCATTTTCAATTTATGTAAATATATTTATAATAATCTAGTGAGCTACAGGGCTTAGTGATGTAGGAGAGGATCCCACGATCTCCAGTGCATGTGGGATCTGATTGGGACTAACTCTCATCTCATAGATTACAATTGCTTGACTTCTCACTTGTTGGCTGCCACCAACTTTCTGGGACCCCATTTTTTATATATTATTTTCGTTAGAGTTATGGTTTTAATTTATTTTTTAGTATAAGTGTGCCATCCGTTTCAATTTTCATCTACATGAACAAGTACATTCCTTTCTCAATCAGTATCGTAAGAGGACGACTGCAACATTTAACTGCACACGTGCAGTCATATTTAAATTTATAAATAATGTGTGTTTTCTTTCTTTTATTAAACATTTGCATTAAATAAATCATTTGCTATTGAGGTATTCATGTGAAATTTGAAAATTTTACAACTGTAGAAGAAAATATTTGTTAGAATTTAAAGCTTTTTAATGCACAAAAAGATTTAAATGTATCTATTTGCATTTAATGAAAGACTAAAAACAATTACAATAAATAGACACATAATTACCCACATTTAACAAACTTGTTTATCCACTTTCTTCAAAAATCAATCCTTCTGAAGTGGTACCTAAAACATAATTGCTTGTTATATCAACGAACATTTCCTAGTTAATTCAACAAGACTTCTCTTGATATTATATTTGTTTTTATTCTCATATTGATGGAATTTCAATTTTTTAATCTTGTTTTTCATATACTACGTTATTTTAAGGCATTCATCATGCATGCCTCAATCTTATTCTTCTTCGAATCCCTAAAGATTAATTACGATCACCATTTTAATCCTTATAATTACCCTTAACCAGTTCAAGGTAAAATTTTTGATGTAGTTATATTTTGGGTTCATAACCTTCGTTCGAAAATTAAAATAATAATTAAAAATAAAAACATATTGCTTATACCTATATTTTAGAAAAACTAAAAATTTCACATGTAATATTAATACCTTAATACTTCCTATTTCCCTTTATAATTTTTTAGATTGTCTCCTTACAAAACCTTTAAATTGTCTGGATTAGCTAAACACAATTCGGGTTCGTGCATAGAAATATTTTCATGTGTAATTATATAAGCTCTCAAATGGAAAATTTCATACAAATTTTTAAATTTGGCATGCACACTTAATTTTCTCCCTTTTCCTTCAAAATTAATTATTCTTTTTGCTGATTTCATTTCTCTTGCAATGATCCTAAGCAAATTTATTATTATTTGCCATAACATTAAACCCAAGGTTTTCAAAAATCAAACTTAATCGTAATAAAATAGAAAGTGAAAATTGTATGAATTAAATTTATTAACCAAAACACTTTTTCTTCCTTTAGATCTCGATTTTTTTGATCCCTACAAATAATTAAGAATGCAAATATTTGGGTTTTAGTACTTCAAAGGAAATCAACTAGAAATCATTTCTTTCATATAAGAAGGAAGGAAGAAAAAACCTTAAATTTGAGTTCAAAATTCTTACCTTATGTATCAATTCTGATTTTTTTCTCGTTGAGCCAGCCTCGCTTGGCTATGGTTCTCCAACCTTCGCCCGAGTGTCTTGGGCACATAATTTGCATGCACAAGTCACATGCTCACCGACTTTCTCCCACCCTCTCACTTGCTCACTTTATCTTGCTCCCACTTTGCTTACTCTCTCTCTCTCTCTCTCTCTCTCTCTCTCTCACATTTTGAACAAGGGCATCGAACCCTCGATTAAAATTCCATGGGTGGCATGCATGCTGCGGAAACAACACTTGTTTAACAAGTTTTGTTAGCGGCAATAAAATTATTATCTTTAACTTAAACTAAATATTAATTTATATTTTAATTAAAATTATTTTAGTTAAAATTTAGTTGTTATTAATTGCTTTATTTAATCTATTTTGATTTATTTCATTAATTAAATAAGTTAATTCTTTTAAATTAAATTTATTTATTTATTATTAAAAAAGTTATTATTATAGTGTGATCTCTTTTGGAGGTATTTCAAAATGCTTATGATTGACAAAATATCACTTGGATTATCAACCCTTTGAGGGGTTTAACATGCTATAGACTTTATTAGAACATTAGTGCTCCCCAATAAACCTACCCATTAGATACGACCAACAATGTATGGGAGTTGTGAAACCAGGTTGAGAATTTGATAGCTTTGGGACTAGTCCGTAACAAGACAAATAGCGTCTTACCAGTTTTGATCGTGTTTATGAAAGATTGATCATGACACATGCATTAATAATAAAAAGTGAATAAGATTACTATCAAATATTTGTTTTCCGTTCTGAGGTTGGACTACTTATTATATCAATTGTGTTGAGTAACATTCTTTTCTAAAATATATCTGCATAGCGAATATCATCAGATTTAAATGAGGCCCAAAGATGAGTGGAAGAATGCATTTAAGATGCGAGATGAACTTTATGAGTGGACGGTCATTCTGTTTGGCATGTCCGACTCCCCAAGTATCTTTTTGAAGGCGATGAATTAGATTTCTTGAGCTTCTATTGGGAAGTTTGTGGTTGGGGTTTTTGACGATATATTGGTGTGCACAAGTTTAGAGGAAGAGCGATGGGTGTTTGGAGTTCTTTGAAATGAATAGTTGTACGACTACCCGAAGAGTGTCGTTTACTGACACCGCAAACGTGTTTCCTAGGATATATAGTTTCAACGTTCAACATTAAGCCCATTGAAGGTTAAGGCTATTGTGGACTAGCTCTACTCATTGTATTTTAATAAGATATGTCCGTTTCATGGTGTTTTAACATGAGATTTATTATTAATTTTAGTTTCATAATGGCACCCTTGATGGAACTTTTCAACACAGATAGATTCACTTAGGCGGATAATGCACATGCTAGCTTTGAAGCTCTGAGAAAACAAGTTACTTAGGTTTTGGTCCTAGCTGTTCCATATTTTAATTAGGTGTTTGAGGTGGAGTGACATCTCTAATGTGGGGATTAAAGCTTTTCTGAATCAAGGAAGACACCATATTATTTTTTTTATTGAAAAGTTGAATAATTCAAAGAGTAAATGTTCTATCTATGATCAAGAGTTTTATGTTATTGTAAGGGCTCTTTTCACTATCTGCCGGCAAGTGAGTTCACTTTTTACACTTGTCATGAAGCCTTCAAATTTCTGAATAGTCAAAGTAAGCTAAATGAAAGACATGCCTCTTTGGTGGAGTTTTTGTCTTTATTTCATTTTGTGTTTAAGCACAAGATAGGAGCCAAAACAAACTAGTAGTTGTATTAAACCACCGTCACTTGCTTATTATTATTATTATGCAATTGAAGATAATTGGATTTGAAGTGTAAAGGTTACATGTCATTGACAAGATTTTTAGTAGATTTGGGCTCATTGTTAGGACAAGACTTATGAACAGTTCAACAGATCAGATGGTTACTTGTTCTATCAGAGCATACTGTGTATTCCTAGATTTTACTCGGAGAGTGTCTTATAGAAATGTCACAATGGGGGTCTAACAAGGAACTTTGGCAGGTACGATGCTCTTTCCTTAGCAAATGTGAATTTCTACTCGCTTGAATTGGTATGGAAAAAGGAATGGTACGTTGGACAATGCAGGATATGTTATTTTTAAAAGATCCAGGATAGAATATGAGTTTCTATATACTGCAATGAGTTGCAAAATTGCTTTGGGTGGATGTGAGCATGATCTTCATTGTGAGACTTCCACAGACTTAGCGAAGTAAGAGTTTGATTATGGTAGTAGTAGATGCTTCTTCAAGACGATACACTTTGTACTTACTACAAGTTGAGGGATCTTCACACATTTCTGAAGTTACTTTAGGGATATCGTTCATCTTAAAGGCATGCCTATGACCATCACTTTAGATAGGGATCTGAATCTTTTGAGTCACTTTTAAAGGATCTAATTGGATAAATTAGGTATAAGAGTTTCGGTGCAGCTCTATAGTGCACCCTCAGACATGCTGACAGACAAAGATGATGAATTGCAATTTGGGAAATTTTTTTAGGTGTTTTATGTAAGAATATTAGGCAGTGGGATTTGGTGTTTCCTCAGGTTGAGTTTGCCTACAACCAATCAACTAGTCTATCAACAGGTCACAACCTTTTTATAGTTTTTATAGAGAATATTAAGCATTGGGATTTGGTGTTTCCTCAGGTTGAGTATGCCTACAACCAATCAACTATACTATCAACAGGTCACAACCTTTTTATAGTTGTATATACACAAAATCCTTTCAGTTAGTGTCGATACTGTTAGCTATTAAAGTTGGCACAGATGCAAATGTTAGGGTCTGAGATATTGAGATTATACATGAGAATTTGAGGAGGGATATTAGAAAGCAAAATCAGAAGCAATCAACAAGTCCAGGAAAGGTCATTTATTCACTCTTATTCAAGAAGAGTGATTTAGTAAGAATTAAATTGAAGAATGTGAGGTTTATTACTGGTTCTTTCAGGAAGTTCAATCCTAGTAGATGGTCTATTTAGAATCACAAAAAAGATTAATAATAATACTCACTGATTGACCTGACAAGATATTATATTATTTTTGTTATATGTAACGTCGC